ATTCCCACGCTCTTTCGGTGAGCTAAGAAAATGCTTATCTCCCCGAGCCTGGCCTTCATAATTTCATTCCATCACACAAAAACAGGCTAAAACAAACACACAACAGCTCTTCAAAGGGAGCTACGCTCACCCTAGCCCTGGGCGAAGGCCTGGGTCTTCAAGGCCCTCCAAAATGCCAGTAGGGTGGGAGCCACCTGGATCTCAGGAGGAGCCTCATTCCAGAGGGCAGGTGCTGCAACACAGAAGGTGTGCTTACTGGATCGCGATAGATGGCATTGTTTAAATCTCCATAATATTTTTTTTCTCCCCCCTTTGCTTCTTTTCTTCTACAACAGGTGCCATAACTCAAAGGATATTTTAGGGAAGAGCCTTGCAGATCTGCAGAAACAGTTTGCCGAGCTCCTAGCTCATTCCCAGCAAGAAAAGCAGTCTGCCCAAGCCAGAGAGAGAGAGCTCCAGAAAGAGTTGGCTACTCAACAGGCTAAGCTGGAAGAAGCCCAAGGAAAGTACAAACTGGCCTGCAACAGAGCTGCAGAAGCCAAGGTAAGAAAATGGCAAATTATGCCAAGTGGGAGGAAAGGCCTCTCAGTATTTTGGCAGAAATCTTCTATAATGATATGTTGTTTTCACAGGGCACTTTTTTTCAATGCCTCTTCTGAACTCAACTTTTCATTGAACATCTTGGCTTGATCCTTAACTCTTATCTGCATCTACTTAAACAGAACTCATGTTTATTCAAATAAAATATTCATCATACCCACTTTTTAAATGTTTAAAAAAGATCCAGATCTTTACATCAGTGGGAATGCCTGCTCTTGACAAGATGCCTCATCAGTATCATTCATTGACTTTCCTTTGTTTCTTGTATTTATCTAGATTAAATCTGAGAGGAGGCAGAATGAAGCTCGAGTTCAGCAGCTAGAGAGCGAAATCCAACATCTCGTTGAAAAGTTGAAGAGCATGGAAGAAATCCAGGGCCTCACTGATCAGCAGCTCCAAGAAGCTGATGAGGAGAAAGAAAGAATTCTTGCTCAGCTGGAAGACTTGGAGAATAAGGTGGGGCTTTTCCTTCTGCCTAATGTCTACAAAAGTATCTAGCTGTTTGCTTAATTTTTAGCGTGAATGCACTCAGCTGGAAAGAGAATAGCTAAGTGACTCCTGGTACTTCATTTATGGTCACTTTCAGTGCATGGTTTGGTTTTGGTTTATCAAGTCTGTTGAATGACCCTTTGTGTCTTTTCTGTCGTTTCAGAAAAAGGCGGAAGATGCAAGGGCGCAGCTGCAGTTCCAGGGCCTCAACGAAGAGCTGAAGGCATTAAAACAAGTCATTTCAGCTTCCGATAAACAAGCCACAGCCCAGCTCTGTGCAGCCAAAGACCAGCTCCAGTCACTTCATGGAACTGTATGCAAAATCAATCAGGAACGTACTGAGGTACATCGCTGCAGAAATGCTCATCTCAAAATCACACAGGAATAATTTGTCTCAGTGTTCTGCTGATGGCCTTAAGTAGTCTTAATTATTCTACTCTTTAACATTAGGCATATACATTTTATTCCTGGATTAATGCCTTGGAGAAGTTTCTTCTTAAACGAAAAATTTAGAATATTGACTCTGCACTTAATTCACTTGAAGATCTTTTTTTCACTTTCTGTGAAAGAGGAGTAGGGAAAGGATGCAAATGTTATTTTGGCAGGAGTTCAGCTTCTCTTTTTTCCTAGCTATCAATGATGACGTTTTCAGAATACTACAGTTCCAAACTGTGACAACCAAATCCTCATTGCTTACTGTGTTTGAGAACCAGGATGAACATATTGCCGTGTGGGTTAGGCAAGCATTATCAGTGCTGGTGCATCCAGCCAGAGGTAGAGAGATTCAAAAGAACAGTACAGGTTTCTTTCCAGTGAGAACACTGAAGGGCTCTGCAGGTGTTCTTTTGTAAATTGATTAAATGCCCTATCCCATCTGTAAAATGCTAACCCAAAATGATTGTTTTCTTCTTTTCCCCCTTCCTTTTTCTTCCTAACTGAAGGAGCTTCAGGAAGCAGAGAAGTTCTGTATGCAGGCAACTCAAGCCGCCAAGGATCTTGCCAGAGCAGAAACAGAAATAGAACTCTTGCAGAAACTTCTGAAGGAAAAGGAGGCACAGGTATGTTCCTTTTCACCTTGGCTGAAGGACTGGAGTGAAATGTGCATGGAGTGGGGGATGTAAGATGTCAATTTTGGTGTCTCCCAAAGCCCTTTAAAATTGAAACACTGATGAGATTATTCATCCAATGCAGGTGTGGGAGGTTCAGGGAGATCCCATGCCACCATTTGGCTGGACCAATCATGTCTCCTCTGCCCAGGGAGAGGACTCAAGATACTGTGTTTGGGCCTGATACATCTTGCTTTTTGATTCAGATCCCTCCACCTCTGGCTCATGTTTTTGACAGCGTGCCAAAATCTGTAGAGCAGTGGATACTGAGGACTTAGTTTTGGGCACCCTTGAAAGCAAAAGTTCTCAACAGAAAATGCTTTTCAATATTGCAGTTAGAACTGGAAAAAAACAATGCTGAGATTGCCACTTCACATCTTCAAAAGGAGGAGATGGATAAGTTAAACGACCTTCTGAAATGGCAGAAAGCAGAAACTGACCGACTCCGCAGTGCCTTAGATCAGGCTAAAAAAGGTTTGTTTTCTCTCTTTGCTTTTCAGCAAATTTTGATGAATTCACACTCTTCCACGACAGAAATTGCACCAATAGAATAACTAACGTACTTAAAACAATAAGATAACTAACCTATTAACAGAACAGCACACTGAATTTTTAAATTCCCTTTTAGGCAACAGGGCTGAAATTGAAAGCATACTGGGGGAAATTGACAGACTCAGACGTGCTATCTCTCAGCAGAATGATACCATCGCTAGCATCGTGGCTCCATTCCAGCAGAATCAACATCTCTTTTTTGTGCCATCGTCATCCCAAGTATGAAAACTATTACATAGTCTGCCTTGAAAGGAGCTTTAAATCAATCAAGCAGAGTAGCTTTCTGGGCATCCTCTTGTTTTTCATAAAGAACATCTGGAGCTAGGAAGGATCATTTTCTTTGGAGCTAACTCCTCGCCTGAAAGCTAGCTACTTGTAAACTTCTCCCCGCCTTGCTAAGCCAAAGTAAGAGAATAAGAATAAGAGAGTCAGTTTCCCTGAGCAGAAGCCCAAACTACTCTACGCCCAGCCGGTTTCTATTTTCCACCATTCCTCTTCAAGAGATGGTGCTGTCCTCACAGATTTTCCCTGCAGCCTGGTTATATCCATATGGAGAAAAGACACAGTCTGCAAAGAGAAAGAAAACCACAGTCTCTATAGACAGCTTTGTGAATTGCCATAACTTGGAGAATTTCCATAACAAAATGATTGTAGCCCCTTCTTTCCTTTCTTTATCCCTTGTGCATACAGATGTTTGCATATTTGCAGTGCGTAAATCAGCTTTTATAGCATAGTAAAACAGGCATCTGTTGCCATATTTTGATAGAAGTGTTCGGAGTTGTATAATGTAATGTCTTTCTGTCTATTGTAGGCCATTCTTCTCTGGATCTGAAATAATAGCTTTTATTCCCTCATTTTTGCCTGGAACGCTCTTATTATACTGGGGAACTTCCCCCTGTGGAATATTTGTCTCCACTCAATTGGTTGTTTGTTGTTGTTTATCTTTGGTTTCAAAGGCATCTACTCCTGCATCTCAGAGCACCAAAGATTCAGGCGTTATCTTACAGTGTCCCATGTCGACCCCCGTCATAAAACAGGACAGGAGGCTCACTGAAAGCAAGAAAGAACATCACCCTGTTTCAAGGGAGTGCTACGTGCACAGCTCAGTCCAAACTGGCCTGCAGGAACCTCCCTCTAGCAGTAAGTCAGTTCAGCTAACTATCCAGGGTCTTACTTTGCAGGTCACTGCAAGAAGGCTGGCAGATCATTTGCCCAGGCATAGTAGCATCTCCCGTTGCTACCAAGAGGGGAGCGAGCATTTCAGAATTTCTCCCTGCTATGTATGTTACTGGGAACTAGTTGAAGGCAGGGACTGGCATGAGTGTGCCAACGTGCAGCCTAATAGCTTCTTGACTGCTTGTGAAGGGAATACGCATGGTATTTTATTCATAGCTAGTACCCTAAACCCCAAAAGCTTTCAAAGTGACAAACGCCCTGCCTTACGTTGCAGTAAAATCAGGCAGATCAAAACCAAGTAACAATACCTGCCATGCTGGCCTCAGCCTTCTGTAACAATCAGTTCAGAAGTAATTTTCTTTTTCTGAGAGTGCACTTCTTTTATCGTTTGCGTCTACAAAAATTTCTCATTGGCGTCCTTCACTGTTTAACTGGGATTGTGTTCACTGTCTCTCACCATGAAGGGCACCGAGGCGAGGGTGAAGCACAGCTGCCCAGTGCTTCTCCGTATGTTCTGCCTCCTGGATCCATCATTTATACCCTGCTACCAGATGGTACGCCAGTGCCTCAGGGGACAGTGCTGTATGGCCCACCGCCTCCCTCAGTACAAGCCAGCGGAGGCCCACTTGCTCCCACAACAGTTATCTATGGCTCACCTCCTGCTGGAGTTCAGCTGCATTACGCTCCTCTTCCTGCTAACTGTTCGGTGCCATTTGTTCCCCTGGGAATCCTTCACTGCAACATCCCTGACCATCGTAACTTGGTAAGAGGCTCAGCTCATTAGATAACCTGGTTTGAAACGAAACTTGTTATCCCTGGATTTATGGTGTGGCTGAGAGATGGGAGCCATCAACATAGTCTAACAATCTTTTTCTCAGCTTTGGTCTCTCCATCGGTAATCTGGAAACGATTCGTACTAGGCTACCAAATGACCATATGATAAGGATAGTGACCTTAGTATACATGACAAATGCCTTGAGACTTTGAGCCCCGTTCACAATTGGATCATGATACAGAGGAAGAGAGACTCTGGTTACACACTTGGTATCCATCTTTTGCAGGAAAACGATATCTTGAGGCTAGAAGACAGCATAGAGACATTAAAGTCTCAGCGACACAAAGATGGGTCCCCGAGAGCGTGTCCTCGTGAACATAATAAAGAGATGGAAGAATTGAACCAGGGCATACAGGACTTGCTGAGGGAAAGAGAAGAGCTGGAAGACCAAGTAGCAGAGCTGCGGCGGATAGCGCAGAAGAGAAATCAACGCAAGTGAGCAGGCTCTACAGCAGATCTTTAACAAAACCTATCCTGAGGTTTTCCTCTGGGTTACATGTTATGGCCCCTTTTACTCCATTAAGCAAGAACTAGGAGATGCTGTTTAGGAAGTTTTTCCTGTGAAGCTTTTGTGATCTGTAAAGTGAGCCATTTTTTTCTTGTCTGGGTAACTTTATTCATCTCATGATGTTATTTCTTTTTAAAAAGAATATTTTTTGCCCTTCCTTGCAGAACTCTTGATTGCTTATCATTAGAACTGCTATTTAAGGAGATGGGAACAATTTAGCTAAGGTTGAGAGTAAGGAAGGGAGTAACCTCTTCAGTTTTGCTCCATAATTTGAGCATGACAGAGAACTGTAATATTTCTGGATACCTGTCTCCATTCATTTCTTTCTCTCTGCTTTAGAGACTTTATCGAGGGGCGTGGGGGTAACCTTACTGCAGAGCTGGAATTAGAGAAATCTATCCAGTGCCATGAAAATATCATGGATGAAATTGAATGCATAGAAAAGACGCTTCTGAAGCGACGGGCAGAACTCAGAGAGGCAGACAGTCTTCTTGCTGAAGCTGAACATGAGCTTGAAAATACTCGAGGAAAGGTAATTTTTTTAAAAAATGAAAAGGTACATAAGAGTTACAAGATATATTAGCGCCACCAGCCTGCCAGGCTTTAGTTACGCTGAGCTGCCTGATTCACAGGGGGGCAGGGTTCCCAGGGATTTGATAATTGGCATAGTAAAGAGAATTTTGACAAGACAGCTTCTCTCTACTATCATGGGAAAAACATTTCTCACAAAAATTATTCCGTTTGCCCATTAATTAAAAAGATAGGACCCTGTCTGCATTTAGCAGCCTAAAAGTGGAATTTTTACTCCCAATTTTTATTTCATTCCCTCAGCACTCAGAATATATTAATGCAGAGTCTACTTTAGTCCTCTTTACTTTTAATAGATTTCCAGCATGTCACCTGCCGAATTCTGGAGCTGATCCTAATGCCACAGTAGCTTTCTTCTGTTTGATGCACACCCTTATCAGGAAAAGAGGGAATTTGGCGTGACTGCCAGTGTCGTGCCAGTTCATCTGAGTTTCCTGATTCTGCAGTGGCATTTGCAGCTGTTAGAACAGGGCTTGGGGCCAGATACATGATTTTCTGAATGCAGCTAGACCCTTTTCTAAAAGTTATTTCCATGATTAGCAGTTTGGGTGGAAACATACAAACAGACTCATGTATTTCAGTTAAATGTGGTTAAGGGCCCAGCGCTGATGTCCGAGTCATCTACAAAGCATACTTCCAGGTATTTCCAACCACTCTATTTGGAAATGAAGCCTGAGGATATCTTTAAAGATGTCGATTAAAAAATATCTGTGATCCAAAATACCAGTTAGTGACTTCACTCTGTTGTTTGCCCTATTCCTTCTTAGCTCATCCAAGTGATAAGTACAGTGGTACCTCAGGTTACAAACGCCTCTGTTAACGAACTTTTCGGGTTACCACCAGCTCCGGCCGCAAAAATTTACCTCGGTTTGTGAACTCCGCCTCGGGGTACAAACAGGATACACGGCCATTTTCCCTCCCATGACACGGTCCACGGCCATTTTTCCGCCCCTGACACGTGGTCCGCGGCCATTTTCCGCCCGGCATGTGGTCCGCAGCCATTTTTCCGCCCCTGACACGTGGTCCGCGGCCATTTTTCCACCCCTGACACGTGGTCCGCGGCCATTTTTCCGCCCCTGACACGTGGTCCGCGGCCATTTTTCCACCCCTGACACGTGGTCCGCGGCCATTTTTCCGTCCCTGACACGTGCTCCGCGACCATTTTTACCCCCCAGGGA